GGGCACGGTAGTACTTTGCGCACTTTCTAAAATCCACATAGTGGTAAGTGTGCACGTTATACTTTGCACACTTTTCTAAAATCCTGTATGGTAAGGTTATGCGTTATTAGCCTCGTTACTTTTCTCTGCGTTGGTTTAGACCCCGGTACCTTGGGCTCCACTCAACCAGTGTGTCTCTGTTGACACACTTTTGAAGCATCGCTCCCCTCACCATTGAGGCTATTCTTTCTGAATTCGGAGTTCTCCTCTCACGTGAGAGTTGAGTTATCTGTTTTTCCCAGAGCACCTGGAACCAGCAGCATCAGGCGAACTAGGCACTTCCTCTGCCTCTCTGATGCGCTGAGTTTTTTTTTGGCTAGCTTGCAGTATGCTTATCCTTCTGATTTCTACAACCAGTGTGTCTCTGTTGACACACTTTTGAAGAATCGCTCCCCTCACCATTGAGGGTTATTGTGAGCATGGTGCTTTCTTTCGAGCATTTGAATTCTCTCCCTTCTGAGGAGTTGGATTCCTCGCTCCGTGGGCTGTTCTCATGGTAGCGTTTAGCAGTGCTCCCCTTTATCAAAGAGTTGCCTATGAGCACGCTACTCCTTTCTGAATTCAGAGTTCTCCTCTCACGTGAGAGTTGAGTTATCTGTTTTTCCCATAGCACCTGGAACCGGCAACATTAGGCGAACTAGGCCCTTCCTCTGCCTCCCTGGTGCGCTGAGTTTTTGGCTAAGCTTGCAGTACGCTTACCCTTCTGATTTCTAACGAACATGCTGTAGGTCGAGCCCCCTCTCGACTGAGAGCTAGGTGTGTTTCTCCCTCAGCTAGGTAACTTACTGCTAGCCATTCCAGCATTTTACCATAGAGTGACGTCATGGCTGTCGCCGGCCAACGAGTTGGTGTTTTTTCAATGTATGCTTCAGACACGGGTCACGACGAGGCATCCCTCATAGCGACCCCTAGAGGACACAGTGTATCGTTCCCTACTCAGGGAACCATGGTTACATATGTAACCTGAGACGTTTTTTTTTTTCACTTTTCTTAATAAATATTGATTCAGAGCCACACAGGAGAAAGGAGAGGACTACTTAGAATTACAAATATTTTTCTCATAAAAATATGCAGGTTTGTTTTTTTATTTTTACTGTTAAAAACTAGGACTGTCAATAGAATAAAATTAGTTAACATGAACTATCAGTAAAAATATTTCTTAAGTACTTATCATTTTTTGTTAGTCAATTTCAACAGTACTAAATTATAATTTCAAAATGATTAAAATCAAAAGTTGTAGGCAATCTGTTAGCATTATTTCATCGACTTGGACTAACATAAACTAAACATAAATAGTAATTTGAACATAGATTAATAAAAACTATAATGTACTGCTTGTTGTTAGTTAATGCATTAGGGTGATTCTATAATTGGAGATACATTTGGCTCTGCAGAAAGTTAAGAAAAAAACTTTTCACTAACAGATTTTTTTTCTGGGTTGTACAAAACATATACCACAGTATATGTGCCAATTTAAGCACATGGGTGATTCTATAATTGGAGATACATTTGGCATTGCAGAAAGTTAAGAAAAAAAACTTTTCACTAACTGATTATTTTTTCAGTATCTTATTGAAAACATATTTAATTTTAATAATTCAGTGCTTGCCAAACACAAGTTACTTCCTTTTTTTTTTACTTTTTTACTTTTAATGAAAAAATAGATGTCTTTATGGTATTGTTGTCAACTCTGTTACGGACAAATTAGCCAATGTGTAGAAATAACAATAAATCATAACGGGAAAAATTCTTCTTGTTTCATTAGACAAACAGTCCTTACATTCCATCACTTGAAACTGAGATAATATTTCACCTATGCATACCTTTAAAATTAAAAAAATACCTATGTCTTCACAGAACCGTCCACTTGGAGCAAATATTTTTCATCTGAAAATGTATTATATACAATATCCAGTAAAAAAGAAATGTTGTTGAAATATTATAAGGGTGCAAAAATAAATCAATAATGTTTATTAGGATTTTAAACAACAAATGTATTTATTTTTTTAAAAATAGTTCATAAACAGAGTTGACCCTTTAAGTAACAGAATTGACAATTGTGCGATGGACTGTCAATTCTGTTACCGCATTGTCAGCATTGTTACTCTACCTTGGTAACAGAGTTTGACAGTAACAGAATTTACAATTTTCTTTATTTTTTGCCAAAAACTCCCCTTGCTAGCATAAATGCTGAGAGCACATGGCACTAATGAAATCATGATTAAAAGACTTTTAAATAGACCTTTTTTCCTTTTGATATTGTGGTAACAGATCTGACACTTTATAAAATAACTCTTGGTGTAAGAACTTTTAGATTAAAATAATTTCTTAGAGAGAGCACATAGACTTTTCAGTGCTTCAGATCTTAACAGTGAGGGAAAGTGACATAATTTCCTGTATCTTACATAGTTGTGGGAGATAATTCCACTAATTTAAAGGCAAAGTATGGTACGGTAACAGAGTTGACGCAAGATTTACAGACACACATTTTTATAAGAAAAAAGTTATAAAAAAAAAAGAATAATGTTGTAGAATTAGGTAAATTACTCTTTAGGGCTTTTATAAATAAAATGAATGAAACATTACAAAAAGAAAAGTACTATAAAATATTTTGATTACACAATGATACATGATGGAAAAAATGCACTGAATAATTCGGACAACAAGAAATCATGATTTTCAGCTATTTAAGACACTTTTTGCAAAAAATATTATATTGTTATGGACTGCAACATCTTGTAATTCATAACAATGAGTAACACAGTATTAAAATAATAACCATTTGAAAAAAGCAGAAAAAAATAATCTTCGGACACCAAATGTACCTACAATTATAGAATCACTCATTACTAATGGGACTTCATTGTAAAGTCAATATAATCCGTATCTCAAGGTAATGTTTTAAATTTGACAGCCCTAAAAACATTGTCTTTTTCTTTCTCTTTGCCGATTTTCCACAGACCCTTCTAGCGGACCCGTTTGTACAATAAGTATATATTTCTGTGCATATTTCTGCAGTAATAATTCTTTATAGTTACTTAAACATCTCGTACGACCACCCTTGTAATTTGAGTGAACTCCACGGCCAAAATCTTGCCCATTATCATCAGTCCTCCAGAAACAGCTTTAGTTACAAACATAAAAGCGACTCTCATTCAAATGTTATCTATTCTTTGCTGCCCATGAGAAGGCGCTCAAAGCAATGGCCCCTGTCACGCGAGGGCTGCTCCACTGTTTCGTGGAACGTACCAACTCGGAGGAGAGATGGGTTCTGTATTTATATGAACGAGAGCGCGCTGCGTGTAGTAACTTCAGCACCTGGACAGCGACTTCCGCGAGTCAGGCGTCATATACTGAAGCGCTCGGCGCCACGCGCTTCGACATGGCTAGAAATACCGCATTAAAGTGCTCCACTGTAGTCTTTTGCTGCTGAAAAGCCGGACTGTTGCGCTAAATTTTGTCGACACTGAGTACCAGAGCCGAGAAGCGTCGGTTAGTGCGGGTCTCTCTCATCTAGAGGCTTATTCGCTCTGTGAAGAAAAGTAACTGCGTCTCCGCTCATCTCATTGTAGTCGAAGATGGAGCCACCCGCCGGGACCGGTCTGAAGCTCTTGCTGTGGATTTTAAGCCACATCAGCATCTCTCAGGCAGCTTCTCCATCATCCCGTAAGTTGCAGTTGATTCCGTGTCTCTTTTGCAGTGTTGGGCACCGGGAGGCATCTGGCACGCTGGAGTGCTATAGTCAATAAGTCCGGTGTTATTTACTCTACAGATGTAACCGGTGTAGTTATGGATTCGTCTGAAGAAACTTGCATTATTTGCAGTTGCATATTGGTCTTGTGGTCATTGAATTACATTGCATTTTATCACGGTCGGCAAGGAACAACAATCATTCGAGTCTTGATAGAAAGGTGGCACATATAATTAGCCTAGGTGGTGCAGATGATATTCATCCTATAAAAAATTAACCTAAAGCATGTCGGTAGCACTGTATGCAGCGTTTCAGTGTTGCAACACATTTTGTTTAAACGTCTGTAACTAATATAGTATTCTCATATTCAAATATTTATAAATATACTGCTAAATTATGTAACCTACCCCACTACCACTACTGTAACACTAATAGAAAACATGAAGTTTTTTATGAATAGATTTATTGTGGTCAAACTTACGTCACTTTTTTTTAAATATTAAAAAATATATTTATTAAAATTAATAAAAACTATTTTTATTGCCATCCCCTATTACTTAATTTTACTTTAAATTAATTAGTATTTATTTATTTATTTTTTACTTCAAAACGGTACACATATTGGAATCATTTAAATTAAATAAAAATGAATAAATCCATTTAAAAAATAGATACATAATAGGCGAACAACTTTAAAAACAGAAAAGATAGTGTTATTCACAATTATTTTTGTGTTAAGCAAATTAGTGTCAAATGTACCATTCTGTGCATCTTTAGCCAATACATTGGAAAGTGTTTCAACCTTGCCTGTCTGGTCAGTCATAATATTGCTAGAGATGTAGATGAAAAGCTCGTGGATGTTATATATCAAATCAAACATGACAACCTGCTGATTCAGATGATATCAGTTCTGCTATATACTGTCCATTAGCATGATCACAAATCATAAACCAGATGTGTAATTTTTACTGTCTTAACTCAGTGTTTCTCCTGGTGGTGCTCATTAAAACTGACGGTGTTTATAACTCACTCAGTGTTACAACATGTCCTGCTCTCCCCCATACAAATAAATGAAGGAACTCTGATGTTCAAATGCTTCACATGCCACATTTGAACACGTAGGCAGCCTATTAATGTAGTTCTATGAATCATGGGTCAAGAGCTGAAAATGAGCTGCTGGGTTCCCTCCTGATCTGTTCTGAACAATGGCGCTTTACCTTGACTGTCAACCCAGCATCTGTTCAACTCTTAAACAGTTGGCTACTGGAGGAACAAAAGTAGCATGCTATTTCCACAGTGTTCTGTTAGCTGCAGTAAAGTTGTTTTTGTAGCAGTGAAAGTGTAACCTTTTCTACTTTATTATTATGCTTGGTGAAGAAGTATATTTTACTTTTTTTTGGCCAAATTATGACAATGAGGCTGTTAATGATATATTAGGAACACACTTTTCTAAAAGAAAGAAAAAATAGTTTTTGCAAAAACACAATGTTGTGGAATCAGGCAATGGTTTTAATATAGCCTGAAGCACCCACCACTTTAATATTACTACATAATTGAATTACTTGGCTAATTGCCTTGCAGAGAGTTAGCACTGCCGAATCAATACAGTCAAGGAGAAATTGGTTCTTAGAAATAATTGGATGGTAGGTCTTATAATATAAAATCCATGTTTGTTCTACAGTATCAACACCTAAAGCAGCTCATAGTCAACCATTTTTCGACTGTGAGAATTATGAATGACTGATTTCACCAATATTGATTTATTGCACATACTTGCTGCAAACATGCAAGTAAGCGAAATGTTTATCGCTGGACAGACTACAGGTAGCCAGGAATAATAAGATTAACAGCCTGGAATAGTCAAGTCACTTAATGGCCCAAATTTAGAAGCAGCCAAGACTCACTTGAAAAAAGCTTGCCAAAACAATTATTAATCAACAAGATCGTTCACCTACTGACATTTTTAATTAATCTTTCCAGCTCTGTGGCTACATGTGGGAGAGAAACTGAGTTGCTGAGATAGTTGATTCTTCCTTTGACAGATGGATGGAGGTTTGAGATAAAGCTTGCAAATGTTAATTGAGCTGCAAAGGTTTTGAAATCTCTTTCTCTCTTTGTTAGCCAAGGCTACCGGAGCATTTGATATAAACATCCATCTCCCTACGAGCTCTCGTGGGTCTGATTAAGAAGAAAAGGTAACTGGATTGATTTGGCTTATATGGGGGCTGCTGCTGAGAATGAAATTTGGATGGAGCTTTTTCTTGTTACACTTTAGTTTCACCACAGCACAAATGCAGAATCATTTGTAATTACTCTGGACAACGGACAGAATTAGTGTAATTTCCTTAATCACGTCATGTATGCAATCAGCACGGCTTGCTGACAGGTTTTGTGCTCTCTGTAGCAGCCAAAGATAATCAAAGTGGCAGCTCAATGACCTGATCAGAAGCAAAGTTATTTTAGTGGAATGTGAACATGTCACTGTGGATGTTGCTCAATGGAAACTCCTCTTAAAGACGAAGATTTCATAAGAAATTCTTCTCAACATGGCAATTAAAATTGTGTTAGTATGCCTATTTCAGAAGAGTCATTCAATTATAAGAAAAATAGTCACAATTCTGAGGACAAAGTTGCAATTGTGAGAAATACTGTAAACATGCAGTTATGAAAAATAAAGTTGTGAGCGATTGTGAGATTTAAAGTTGTGAACAACGAGAAATAAGTTGCAGTTTTGAGAAATAAAGTTGCAATCGCAATTTAAAAAAATAGTTGCAGTTGTGAAATTCACAATTGTGAGAAATAAAGTTGCAATTCTGAGCTACAAAACCACAATTGTGAGAAATAGTTGCAATCAATATCGCGATTATAAGAATAGTCGCCATTGTTAGTTCTAAAGTTGCAATTGTGAGAAATAAAGCTGTAAATATGAGAAATAAAGTCGCAATTATGAGAAATAATGTTCTAAATATGAGAAATGAAGTCACAATTGTGAGAAATAAAGTTGCAAATGTGATAGAGTTAAAATTTTGACAAATAAAAATTACTTTATAAGAAATAAAGTCACAAATGTGAGACATAAAGTCACAGTTACGAGCAATGGTCACAATTATGAGAAAAATTGTCACAATTCTGAAACAAAGTTACAATTGTGTGAGAAATTCGCAATGATTTAAAGCTGCAATCCCAATATATAACATCAGAGCTATGAGAAATAAAGTCAGAAGTATGAGCTATGAAGTTGAAATTGTAAGAAAAGGTGTTGCAATTTTGAGGTATAGCTAAATTGCAAATTTGTAAGATATAGAGTCACAGTTTCAGTGCAATGTGAACATGTCACTGTGGATGTTGCACAGCGGAGACTCCTCTTAGAAATTGAGATTTCATTAGAAGTTAATCTCGAGGTGGCAATGTTATTATATAGATCTAAATATATATCTTCTTTGTATATTCGATGTCATCCCAATGTTTTTTAATGCAGCACTTATGTCTGTTCTAGAAGCAGCAATTGCGTAGAACAAAAGTTGTTACCCATAATCAACAAAATGGCTTTTTTATTTGACAGATAGAAACAAAGGACTTGCAAAAAGCATAGCAATTAAGAATTAGACCATTACTGTGCAATACAATGCTAGGAAAACACTGAAATTAAACCCACTCGTCTGGTTCAGTTCTTAAGTTGCACACCCTATGGGAAAACAAGACTGCTGCCTCAGAATGTAATGCTTGGTCACCTGAGTTCAAGCCAATTTGCTTGTCCTTACAAAAGACATAGATGCAGCGAATCTGTTTCAGGCTACTCGGTAAGGTAAATTGAATGCATAATCTGCTTTATTCATTTATTTCTTTGTTTGTTTCTATGGTCTGTCATTTCTATACCAACACTTTTCCCACTTAAAAGCAAATGGCAGGCATCTGTGCAGGCAGTCCCTGAAAGATTAATTCACTTAATTGCTGTAAGTAAATTGGGTATTAAGGGACTCTAAACAACAACTTGAATCCAGTGAGAAGCTGAAATAACAACATTTGTCTTTGATGGAGGTGTGCAGATTCTACAATCTTCCTAATGAGCTGTTTTTTTTTAGTTTTGTATGACTGATTTGAAATTGATTTGAAGGGAAATGCTTTCTAACAAAGCGGTTTGTCTTGTATTAATCAAGATAAGTTTGTAGACAAGGCCAGAAAGTCAAACTGACCTTTTAAAATTCTCTGTAAGAAAGTGTTTGTTTCCTTTTGACATTAAGCAAATGCTGTTTGCTGATCAAGAAATGCTGATCAAGACCTTTGGATATGGGTCAGCACAGCAATCATGTTACAAGAGAATGATCAGAGAAGTTATGAGGATGTAGGTTAAGACAGTTTGCTGAAGGGTCAGAGCAAGGCTTGAACTACTCTGAATGATTTTAGTAAATCTTAGGGTCCAACAACTGATAAATGGCCTTGTTTATAGGGACCATTCACAACATGCAGCTAACATACAGCTTTTCTTTGGTGATGGATGAAATTATGACATCATCATTTGACAGATGAAAACTCTTTCCTTTTCCAGACCTGAGCTGTGTCTGAAGGGACTTCTCCCCAGCCTATGTTACCTCGAATGACACAGACAAACACAGACCCAAATCTTGTTATTCTCTCTTTCCTATACTATTTTCCTCTCTATCTCTCCCACACACTTCTATAATGCAGTGCACATATATACAAGTATTCAATCGCACATGCACAATTTCTCTCCCTTTTCTCCAGGCAGTGGAGATTCTGTTATGACTATAGGCTCTAGACACAGGAGTGAGCTTTTCATCTAATAGCACAGTGGTTGCTGTACTCTGTGTGCACTTGCTCTTGTCTCTTAAAGCAGACTAGTAATAAAGTGTAAGCACTCTCAACTCATGGGCATACCGCTGTGAATAACAGTGTATATTCAGTAGGGAAATTAAAAACAAACCAATGTAGTCTATTTGACGCAAATAAATTAATA